AGATACGGACAGAGCTGTCCCATTCCTTGATACTAGACTAGTGAGATCGAGGGACAATATAGTCCTAATCGATTGGTATCGCAAATCTTGCAGTTCAGGCAGATTTCTCAACTACAACTCGTTCCACCAACAGAACATGAAGGTGAATTTGTTAAAACAAATGAAGAACAGGATAATCAGAATTTCTGATACATCATTTCACAGGAAGAATTTAAATATTTTACAATCTTTATTCATAGAAAATTCATATCCACCACAATAGTCAAAAAAATTCTACACAGTGCACCCATGACACAGACAGCTCCACCTGAAATCAACATTCAATTGCATGAGACTGTGGTTACTGATACTCCTCCAATACATACAATTTTTTCTTCACTTCCGTACATATCAGATTTAACTCCAAAACTCACAAGAATTTTTCTTCCAAATCCCAACCTAAAAATTGCCAATAAAACAGTTTTAACAATTAGATCAATTTACACCAAAGTCAAAGACAAAGTACCTCTTACTGCACAGACGAATGTGGTGTACAGCATCCCCTGTCAGGATTGTGATAAAATATACATCGGGCAATCAAAGAGATCATTAGCCAACAGAATCACATCCCACAGGAGCGACTGTAGGCTTCATCCAGAAAGATGTGCTTTGGCGGACCATGTTAATTCCTCTGATCACAAAATGGATTTTCAATCAGCAAGAATTTTAGCTACAGAAAGTAACCACAAAAAAAGAACTTTTTTGGAAATGTCTTTCATTGCCCAAGAACCAAATTGTATCAACAGAAGATCGGACATTAACCATCTTAGTGAAATTTATTCATATCTTTTATCAATTGATAACCCTAATACGGTGTTAAATAATAGCAACTCAACATAACCAACAATAAACAACTTTTTTAATAATCTTGATGTGATGCACATATTGCCTGCAAGAATATTACCCGTTTTACTAGTAGCTCAAAAACTTTCTCCTTCCAATACTCTTGTGACTAACACACAATAGCACTAGGTACCATAAGACCAAGGTCATCACACTTAAGCTTCATGTCACCAGTGAATTGGAAGAATAAGGTTCAGTTTTCCTAACCAAAGATTTTTATTCTGACACACGTTGTGAAAAGAAAAGTTTCATCATGATTTTAAATCAACAACGTTTTTGATATTGACCTAATATTTTAATTTTTTGAATTTGTCATGTTCCAGATATGTTATACAAACATTTTTTTATTTATACATCACTTGTTAGTAACATCAATGTAACCAACCTCAATGAGTTGTAAGTACTGCACCACTTAGTCAACTAGCTTTGCTTATAATTGTTATAACATTTTGTAGTCTGGCCCTGATGATGGAAATATAACTTTCCGAAAGCTTGGACGAACTTGCATGAGTTTCACTTTTACTTGCTGCTTCCCCACTACTAAGTTTCATCTCTAACTTGTCAGCAACGACTTCCCTTCTCTCTATATATATATATATATATACACATTAATATCATTCTAAAACTATCACAGATGGTTTGATTCATTGGATTGTCTTGCTAGTAAACTTTCCCTGAATAATGTTTTGAAAGAAACCAATGACCTACCTTGCAACATATGAAAATTATCGATATTATTCATAAAACTGACTGATAGATGAGCAAAGCAATCTTCAAATTTTGATATTTTGTGTTGGTGAATATCGTATCTCCACATATTTCGGAGGTGTCGATCATGAATTTCATTTCTTGGGATAAGATAATTGTGCAAATATTCTGGTTTTTTGTCTATTATAGGGCGTTTGGCCTATAGTTGTTGGGCAGGCTATTGTTCTCTAGCTATTTTCCAGCAAGATAAAAAATACACGACTTGTAGGACATGGTAAATAGCTTGCAGAGAATCGGTGACAATTCTGGTGCAAACTTTTTGAGAATAATGAGAGTTATGACATCGGTTATTCAATTTTCGGAAAATTGTATGAAACAAGTTTTAGTTCATCTGCTTCCGACACTATTCTAGACTCATCTCGTAGGTAGATATGGTCCAAATTGGGTGACTTTTTGACACTACCCCACTGATATAATTTGGGTTAACCCCACATTGCCCTTCTGCACTTCAACGATTCGTTGCTCATCATCGAATCCTACTTGGGACTCCTTAATGTTCCTCAAAGATCAATCACTACTAGACTCCTTTGAAATACAATGGATCCCTGTAGTTTTCCTGAAATATTTTGGGAAAACTGGAGATCTCTCATTTTCATTTGCATCAATGGAATCTGATATTTTTGCTACGATTTGAGTGTTTGGTATATTTTACGACTAGATTCAATGGTACAATTTTGCTCCATTCTTATGACTTCCACAACTTCATAATTATTGACCTACTGACTTTGTATATGATAGGATTCGCTCCTGAGAAAATCACACACTTTACGATGCACATTGAATAAATAAAATTGTATTGCTAGAACCTACATTATGTACCTACTATGAGAGTTATTCTGAGTCAATTCGATAATCTATTGATCTCTGTGGCCTGCATGAACCCACAATGAAGGCTAACATATTTCGGATGTCTTCCAGATCGAGCTACTGGGACATGAGGTCGGATTTGGGAGAACTGATAGGTTGAATTCTTCCTCAAAGCTATGCATTGAGAATGGGAGAAGTTCCATCTACTCAAGGCTAACCCTATCTTGATTTTTTTATTTTCGAATAAACACGCCTTAGCTCTCAGGGCTATCCGACAAAATTTCGAGACTTTTGACTTTGAAGTTGACCTCATGCCAACTGGTGGAACTGGAAATGTTTGCACTCATTAGGATCGCTCATTATAAAATGGATAACTGGAACTGAGTAATTGATGAACCGTGAGAGTAGTGGAAATGCATGAATATACATTTAAATGCCAACTCCGTCTCTAAATACAATGATTAACCGGCTAAATTGTTTATTGCATTTGGTTCCATTTGAACCGAACGATTAGCTTTTCAATAGCTAATAGAATAGTATTATTCAGGTGAAATTCTAGTGTCAATGTTTAACGACTCAACGCCTATACCTACATTTCTCAAATTCTATGATTCACGGTATAATACCAATCAGGCATTGTAAATACTAAGTAGACTCATATCTGCTCTGCTGTTTTTCTTCAAACCCTATAACCTTATACGCTCATGACCAAAAAATGTACCATACCTTCAATTTATTTGGCATTCCAAATATTACACTTGGATCGCCATATATCATCGAGTATATATATATATAAAGGTAGACATATCTTAACAATTCAACAAACATTTCTCAAACTACTTTTCCATAGTCACTTTGTTACATGATGGAGTTCAAAATTTACGATGATTTACAGAACAAACGACCTATTCCTGGAGGAAGTTTGTTCTGAATTATATGAGTATCCTCGTTCAACTAGATATTACACTAGTAGAATCACTATCATCCTTTATCGAGCACATTTCCAAGGAAACCAAGAATGAAGTTCTCACCCACAGAGAACTCTATGAAGTGGCAAGTTCCCAGTCTATAAGTCGTTGGGTGCAAAAAGTTTTGAAAAATTAGTGGAATTGACATAAATAATGTGTTCAACACTCACAGTACCAGACATGCCACCTATTCAGCAGCTTATAGACAAGGTTTTAATATTGATCGAATAAAAAATACTATATGCTGGACACCTAGGTCACAAGTATATCAAAGGTTTTACGAATGAGGAAAAACTCAATTTTATAGAAATTGCCCCAAAAATCACCACTCATCAGGAATAAATTACTATTATGTTATTATAATTTTTGATAAATGAACATATTATAAACATTTATTCGATAATGTAGAATCATTCTACATAATTTGTCATTTCGATTGAATATAATGAGGAATCATAATGATGTTGACAATATTGGGATTGTTGATGAATATATTAATGGGTACATGAAGAATTTCTCTTCTTTAGACATCTACCAGTCGTGTATCATTTATTTGGACTAGGAATACCAAATATAATCAACAGAATAACAAACGACTCACCTGAAGAAAATTCGTTCTGAATCATATGAGTATCCTATGGTATCCTCGTACTAAAAAAACAGGAGATTCAACCCTTCCGTTTGCAAACCATTTCAAGAAATTCTTCTAATACTCGAATAGTATATTACACATCGAGTTGGAAAGTGATTCATTCCTGTCGTGAGATTAGTTAGGTATAATTTCGAGACAGGAATAAAACTTCCTACCAAGGTTAGTATACTATTTTATTTACAACCATGATATTTCGATCAAAATTGATAAATCTATGTTTTGATCTGAACATGAATTATTACATGAGTGAGAGCGGGAAGTGAGGACGGGAAGTAGTGAGGGGCGGGAAGTGATGGCGGGAAGTAGAGGGGTGTAATGTAACACTTCCCAACCTTCGTTGACGTTAGTAATGGCAACATTACATATATGGTTGTGAATAAAAGCAAATTGTTGTTATGAATCATGGCCGGCCAGGTGGGTACACGCTACATAGACAACAGACAAAAACTCTTGAAATACCTTGGAAATGGGCTCGATGAAGAATGATGGTAATACTACCAGTATAATATCTATTCGAACGAGGAATACCAAATATAATTCCACGAGTATTCATTGAGTTCTATATATCTCCGAAACGGAATTCTATAGATTATGAGTAGAGACAATTTATCTACTTAATTATATTTCTTCTTATATCATTTCGAAACTGTTTGCGTTACGTTGCGTTTCCAAATCTATAACCCAGGGGTTAAGACACGTTACGAACCAATTACGTGAAGCAAATGATTGAATATTGGATTTGAATGAATCCATGGCAACGTATGTCTTCACTGATGTATTTGAGGAGTTGATTTGCCGATAATAAAGAAGATATATGCAACCGATTCGTAGATTGCAATCACACTAACGAACAGAGTGACGATTGAATGAGTCGTTCTTCCACAAACCATCATCATTGTATAAATGTATGTTTATTATTTCAGTGAGGCCATTATGGGTCAAACTACTCGGAGACAATAAACCATTATCTGCTGAGCACACCTACGAACTGAGCTGCGAAGTAGTCGGTTCTAGACCAGAACCCACCATCACATGGTGGAAAGGCAGTCAACAGATGAAGAACACGAGGGAAACGGTGAGTACATTTCCCACAAACTATACATCTCTGAACTCAAAATAAATGGTTTCGAAACTGAAAACTATATTGAAATCATCAATCGTGATAGGCAATCCACACAACAGTTATAATTCATTCTCATTTGTTGTAGAACTAGATATCATAGCTGAGAGAATGACTTGAGCTTTCCCAATTCTCAGCAAGAGCCGCTCTTGGTCTACCGATATTAGTGTAACTTCATGCATCTTAGGTCACTTAGTTCTTTTTATTTCCTCCTCAATTTTATCATTCTTCTTGTTTCCTTAACGTCGGTTATTTTTTACTATAAGGCTCAACGCCAACAAAGTGAGCATTCTACTCCCAATTGGAAATTTTGCCAAATCTTCTGATGTTTCAACCAGAGATAGGAATCTCAAACGAGTCCAACATGCATGGCCCTGTAACCGCCAGCTTAACGTCCTTACCTAAGAAGAGCATATATCCATGCACGCCATATTTTTATTCAATGGTGAAGTATCTGCACACTGTGATATGATTCAGGGTATTACATGATGATGTAGTCATGTTATCGCCATCTAGTGGCATAGTATCAAGGTAGGACCATGAAATCGTGACCTTGACTCAAGGTTGGTAGAATTGATGATTATTTGTAGAGGAAGGTTGCCTTCATCAGCAGAACACGGTGAGAGGAAGTGGAAATTCGTGATATGATCCCATCGGAAATTAGTTTCGGAGTCATGAGAATCTATATTTTACAACTGTCTTCAAATAGATTCACCTAACCAGCTGTGATCTAGAATTATACGTACATTTCTATGTTCCCAACATGAAATTTCAGATTCGATTACGTCACGGAGTGCTACGACCCCTTAACGCGTTTTCTGATAGTGACAACCTTCTACCTTTTACAAATAATCATCGTACACTGCATAACACTGCCATCTATGGTCAACCAGTGCAGACTCCTACGTCTACAACTTTGCAAAATGGTACTACGAGTAAACCACTCTGCTGACAGATGGCACTACCTGACTACCAGAGTGGAAGATCCACCAATCCTATTTATTGAAGTACATGACTGTATCATCATGTGATATCTTACGTCTTCAAAATGAGTGATATACCTGAAGCTTTGAGTTTTTCCAGTTGTCAGCAGACCTAAAGGAGCTGATAAGGCCTGGTGGGCCGAAACAGTACTGTCTCGCTCTAGCTGACAATTGGGGCAACTATGTTGATCCTACATCATTTAGTTATAAGGTCTAGTTGAACGTGCTGATGCGGCTCTTCCGTGAAAGCTCACTGCGCTAGATACTGTTCTAGCGCAGATAGAGAACGAAGAAACGGCGCTCTGCGTCATACCTGAGAAGCTAAGTCGATGCCCGTTGGATAAGATCGATGGATCCAATCTACATCCGAGTATTCTCCAGTTAGTACCACCATAGTAGAATGGTTTACTTGTGGTAGCACTCTTGAAAACAATATACGGAAGTTGCATGTCGCGATGAGGCTTATCCACAGCCATTATCACAATTTTCACAGGGTGATCCATCCCACAAATTGATTTTTCGAATGAAACATCCTATTTCTCATACTTTTCAAGGATTTTGTGAATTTTTGTGATCACGAAAAAATATACATACAGGGTGATATCTTCTATTTTCACTTCCATATCACTACTCGTGTGAGCCTTGAGAAACAGTTTTTGTCTCTAAACTGTGATAAATATTCTCTGAACTGTGATACAACTGTCAAATATATCCTCATTCATGGTTAAAACGTTATCTGTAGAAGCCAACACATGAAAATGGTTCTTCTCTGGCCTTCTTGATGGATAATCCTGTGCATGGCAGTGGCTTACACTGTATTCGACAAATTTCCTATTCAGATGGAAAAATTTCAAGACAAATTCTGGGAATGGTTTTCAAGTTCCATGTGGATACATAATATTTCTTCATGAATTCTGACATCGAAATATGAAATTTACATAATGATTGAGATTGAGAATATTGATTTTCCACTTGTTAGTCTTCTGTGTCTATATTAGTATATTTTCAATTGTATTATACTGCTATTTTTGTCCATAAAATGAAAATAAATTATCTCAATATCATTTCCTCACGAATATTATGAAGAAAATATTCAGTTCAATACATGAATGAAGTGCCTCATTATTAACTTTTATGAGTTTTCTATATCTGTTCAACGGGACGCGCAGTTTTCGGTTTAGCAAATAGGTGAAGAAAATGAGGTTCAAAGATTGAATTAAAAAACATATCATAATATATTATTTGATGTCTGAATGAACAAAATGAATCAACTTAATGATAAAGCTAGTATATAATATTGCTTTGATCACCTCCAGTGGCTATTCTATTATCTTTTTTAGTTATATATAGTTCGAATCATCAAAGAATTCCTTAAGGCGGGAAAAACAAGTCGAATGATCGGCAGCTAGGAAACTTTTCGCGGAAATATATTGCCTTTCTTGACGCGTTTTCCTTGTATACATGATTACCCAGTTTGTCGACAACATCAATATACCGAAAATCAAACTATTGACAGTGATTGATAATCATCCGCGAGACTCTGTAAAAACTTCACCATTAGTTATCTCCATCCGGGTCCCTTTTACCGAGTTTCTTTACATATTCCGCTTTACTCGGAAAGAGAAATACAGGGTTGCCCGAAGATCCGCAATGAAAGTGTTTTTTCCTTAGCACTACCCGTTAACGCCATTTGGCCATGTTCTTCGATCTTCCATTCCCACCCATGAAGCAAAGTTGTTAAGTCGAGTAATCGAGAAGTTATTAGAGCCCTATCGTTGAATAAAAAAATATCCAAATTGAATATTGAATTTGACCTATCAGAAGAAACCCATGATATTGATGTTATCAATTCGTGACTGTTTCCAGCAACAAGCTCGTTTGGATATTTCTTATACTCCATGACATAACATCATGTACATGTTCGCTAGGCTAGACACGTGACAATGTTGTGCCAAATGCTGAGTACTGACAAGACAACGCCTACAATCCTGTGTTGTCATGTTTACCGGGATATGACATATTATCTCCTTCAATGTGAATTAATATGATTATTATGAATACGAATTCCTCATGTATGCAGTACACAGTGAAAAATTTCCGGTTGTAATTTCAACCGAGTGGATTTCAGAAATAACTCCGATTGAATCAACACTTGATTAGCAATATTATTAGAAATTTGATAATACCGTGTACAGTGGTGTCAATTCACACAGTCATAGTGAAAAATTACACGGATGTGGTAATTTAGAGGGGTTCTGAAATATCCATTCGAGAGAAACACCAACAGGATGAAAAGTAATTACTTTCGATAGTGGTGTCATCCAAGTTAACGCAAAAAATACACATATTATATAAAATCATCACCTAGTTACACCCTCACCAATCACAAACAAATCAGAACCGTGTATGAATTATGAGATTTGGGGCATCATCGTCTTGCATTCTCCCATGTGAATAAATAATGTTTGCTGATTATGAAATTACCCAATGAAAAACCTGAACTCATTGAAGAATGGATGGACATTGTGTAGGTGTATCATCATCCAAGAATTCTGGTATCCAGATTGATAGGTGACAATAAGAACGGATGATTTCGTGAAAATAATGCATTAAATACATTTCAAGCTGATTCATAAATTATATATGATGATTTTTATATTGCGAAGCGATATAGAGTACATATATCGAACCAGATTGAACATAAAATTGAATATCAAAGTAGAAATTTTGTGCACAGAAAAATATTTAGTGAATTTCTTGATAGATGGTGACACTAGCGCTCCTTCGACGCACGTTTCTCGACAGCCTACAAATAGTATCAGCTCAGAGATGTTTTTTAAGTCACAATTCTCACTACATTGGAACGTTTTATACACTGAATACTAATGTTAGTATATCAGAGTCGTGTTATTCAACACTCAGATGCATACAAGAAAACACTGCTTCTCAGCGTGATAACACTCGATAAGTGTGTTTTCACATCAGAAGAATATCCGACAAATATTCACATATTATCATAATATCATCAGTAAAAGCAAAAACGCAACAGATACAGTTTCAAAATAATCACCAAATGATTGTACAGTCACCACTCTGGTGTTGAATAACACGAATCGATCAAATTAGCTCTAGATACTCTAGTGTAGTTCTTGACTGTATGTAAGAACGAATGACACCCTATGATGGTGTTAAAAATATCAGAGTTAATTCCCACTAAAATGTTCAGGACCTCAGGGGACACCCAAGGGTGTTAGCTGGTGTAATTTTTTTTTCACTGTGATGCAGTATATAAGAGGAAAAACCACAAGACATTGGATTTTTATAGGTGATTGAGAATTTCACCAATACATCATCGAAAATTTATGAATATTCAAATACTTACGAAATCGTGACGTCAGCTTTTATTTATATAAGTGAGTTATTCAGTGGTTTAGTTTAGTTTAGTCTGTTGTTAGATACATATTATATCATTTGCCACTATGAAAGGAGAAAAATATAGTTATTTTTGTACCAAGTGCGTTATAAAGATCCTAACGCCCAAACGATAACATTTACCTGAGTGCCTTCGGCCCGAAGGATGAATGCTGCTCGATGGGCGCTAGGATCTAGTAACGCTCGTGGTGCATACAAGATTCTATTTTTCACGCAAAAATTATTCTAAACGTTATTTACTTCATAAATTTCTTCTCATAGTATTTACTGTGTTCTGGTCGGCGACTGAGCACAAGTGAGCTTCCATGCAGTTGCTTCCGAAACATTGAAGAGGTTGCTAAGGGTTGTTTATTTGATAAAACGACTCTGCAGGCTTGTTAGTGGGGGTAACTTAAAACGGTTGTGTTCTTAATAATTATGGATATCCCCCAGAATGTGACGCTCCAAGCTGAAAAAGCGTTAGGAAATTTACTGCCTGGGAATTCCAAATACTTATACGAGAAGGAGTATGGCCATTTTTTGGAATTGAAAGATGGAAAC